AAGTTTGCACTTTAAGACTATTTGTCCGTGAAACGCTGAGAGTATTTACTACAGCCATATATGACGCTGACAAAGCGAGCAATCTGTTATTATCAAAATACTTGCATCTGCAGTAAAAGAGAAATTCAGATTTAAAAAGCACAGCTTTCAAAATAATTACAGTATACAGCATGGCTTCATCCTCATTTGTCCAACTAACTGTAACCAATGACTCTTTCTAAAATGCGAAAGGAAACTGAAATACAGCCAGATGACTAACAGTCAAAAGGAAAGCAGACTACAGTGCTCAGCAGTGGTTTGCAGCAGGCAAAAAAAAATACAACAAGCCATGAACTACTAATTGGGGTGCCAAGCTTGCCTTAATCTCTTGAAATAGTTAAAACCCCTACCTTTTGCAGGAAGGGGCAGGAGAATAAGGAAGGAAAATATTTACTTTTAATAATAGTTTTGTTAGAAAAAGGGGGCTAATTCGGCTCCAGCCTAGCTTAGCACTAGTGCCCAAAGCAGATGAAGCCTGCAGGCCGCAGGACTGAACTGTAAATGAACGCGAAAGACATTGCTGCGGACGCGACTGCAAAACCAGTTAGAATCAGCCCTCGAGGATACAGAACAGAATGAACAGAGGTAATGGTTGACCTTTGGATAAGATAAGGCACTGTGAAGCAGGAACATAGTAACTGTCCCAGGATGTAGACGTGAACCAATCAAAAGGAAAGAGACCACCAACTCAGTAAAGACAACTGGAAGTAGAATTACTCAATAATTCTTTTGTTCTGGGTGCCTCCCAGCTCAAGCTGTTATTATGTTACCGCACCACTAATAAATTCACTTAATGCAAGACTGTGCGTGACTCTGCTCAACGGAGACCTAGGGTTGGGCCATTTCATCTTTAACAAGATGACAAACCTATTTTACCAGTTCAAAATGCCAAGATGCAAAATTCATTTACAAAGATGTAAGGAGTATGATAAATGGAGAATGCGCAACAAACCGTGAGGAACCAAATGCTCCTAAATATGAAGTGATTACCTGGGGGATAGTAAAATAGTCGTCGTCTTCTGTCATAACCGGATCTCCTTGTCTGTAACCAGTAAAAAGTCTTCCAGGAGATGTTTGCAAAGGGATCTTAAATGAAGGAACTCTGGGTGTAGAACTGCAGTAAGTTTAAAAATAAAACAATACTTTACTCCCTATCTCACACAAATAATTATACATTTCAAGTCCCATGTTCTCATACAGTATCACTCCATGTACATTTAAAGTTTACATCTTAAAACTCCAATTTCAAAATAACTCTCTCTATAAATAACAGTTTGATTAGCATAGCTATTCCATGTGTTCAGAAAATGTATTTTTTTCAAGACTTACACAGAGCCGTGATAAAAGTAACCAAGAAACGGTGTATTGTCAAGAGAAGACTGCACACAAAGGAAAGGAAACCAATCAGGAGTATTTTCCATTGACTTAGCAGAGCACAACTGATCAAAAGGTGGGTTTACATCCCCACCAAACACTCCAGTGAAACATGATCCAGTGAATAACTGCTTCAAGTCTGGCGTACATTCCTAAAATGGAAAAGAAAGATAATATAACAGCTGTGCTAAAAGGTTATCATAGCCACTACAGGCACAGTTACCTATAATCAAACCAATTTTATAGAGAGAGATCATAATTCCTGTTAGGAATACTGGAAAACTCAGACAAGCCCTCCTTCAAGTCTGGAACATTTGGTACCCCTCTCTCTCTTCCTCTCCCCACCCTTCTCTCTCTCTCTCTCCCCCAGTAACAGGAGGAGCCTAGAAATTGTGAAAACACTTCCTCAAAGTTTAATATGAAATTAGTACCAGATCACAGCAACAACGAACATCACAAGCTCCAGCTGTCAAGTCACAAGGACAAGAGCCTAATGGCTGAAACGCCTGGTTAGGGATGATAGTTGCATTTTCTATAAAAGAATTACAAAAAAGAGAGAAAAATCAAACCTCGTGCACTGGAATCCCAGTAGACAGACCACGTGCATTACAGTTTATTCCTACTGTGCATTCCTGCTTTTTTTTGTTAAATTCTGTTACTGATTATTCAGTTTCCCTCATTACTGCCCAAATCCCAATTTTTAATTTCTCATACGTAGAGGAAAAAAACAGCTGGTATACAACTTTTTCCTTTAACACATGTAACTACTTACCGGATACATTTCCTATAAAGGAAGAGTTAGCATATATTTCAGCTTGAATCAGGAGATGTGCCAACATCACTGAACCACGGCAAGCTAAAACCTGAACTGCTTCAGCCACGCAGAGAGGTGCTGCACAGCAGTCAGTGGCGTTGGGCAAACACAACTGCAGGTTTCTAGTCAAGCTTACGGTCACTTTGGAAGCGTCCTGAAAAACGTCAAATAAAGTTTGACAACTTTGACAGCTTGTACTAAATTACATTTACTTATACCACACATAAGTTTCTGAAAGAGATGTTTCAGTACCACCTGTGTGGTGTCAGCGTCACAATGCAGTACATATAAAATGGGATGTTTGTTGACATTGGAATGACAGAGGTCTGCACCAAGATATGTAAATAAAGTGAGGATATGAACTGTACGTGCAACTTGTTAAGGCACACACACATCATGTTACCTCAGAAACCACATGCACAACAATACTAAAGGAAAGAACATATTCAAATAAAGTGAATTTCCATTTTTATATAATATCTTCAGCTGAAGACTGGACTACAGAGTCAATAAGAGCCTCAAGGACTTGTGTGTAATGTAACTCTACAGACAATTCTAATACTTATAAACTTTCCAGAGCTCACACTGCTTAAGACCATTGCTTTTGTACTTCTTTTAGCTCCTTCTGACAGATCTGAAACAGGCTCAAATATACAGCCTCCTCTGGAGAGGACAGCAACAAGCACAGTGTCAAAGCTGCACCTCAGCAAACTCCAGCATGGACATCCACAAAAACGAACATGTCAAGGAAAAAAGACATAGGCAAGACACTGAAATTGAGTGGCTAACATATTACCATCTCGCTAGCCCTGCACTAGCCCTTAATATATGAAGTTCAATTCTTTCCCATGTTAGGGAAGAATCTGTATTTTACATACCACACCAGATGTCACATTCAAATTCCAGTCACCAGCTCTTCTACTTCCACTGCAGTTTGAATGTTGCAGTTTTCCTACAGCAAGAGGAAATAATAACGGTTTCACCGTCATTGAGGAGAGAACGAAAGATGAGGAGAAAATTTCAACTCCTCTTCTGGCTTCAAGTCGGCAGATCTTTTGGCCACCTGACATCCCACTGGAATCACCAAGCGACTGAGGGCGTAATCAGCAGACGTCCTTTGAGTTTCTCCTTTGATAACTAACGAACCACAGCACAAATGCAACTACTGAATGTACTACTGTTTCTCCAGCAGTCTTTGGGGGAGAAAAAATGTTGAGAATTCAAACATGTTTATGTACGTGCTATTTGAAAACAAATAAATAAATGAGTGTTCTTACCTGCCTCATCCTCTCTAGGGTTTAAAATTAAAGAAAAACTAACTTCTGAAGAATTTCCAAGAAAAAGTGCATTGACCCTAGGCCCAGACATATGGATAAATGAAGGCTGAAACACTAAAAAAGGAGAAAGAAACAAGTCTTAATACACACAATAACTGGAAAAAAGCAACATTTCTAAGCCATATTCGGGTCTTACACCTGGGTGAGATTCTTTTCCTTACGCTCTCTTTCTCAGATGCAGCCATACCTTCCCACGTTTTAAAACGCAACGAAGGGCACAGAAACACCTTGCGGTTGTCCGCTACGGGGTCGTAGCCGCATCTCCCCAAGGTTCACCCCAGCTCCCCGCCCCTCAAGTTCACGTTTCGGCGAGATGCTCGGTAAACGCCCAGCAGCGCAACACTGAACACAGGAGGGGAGCGCAGCTCTGGGCGGCCCACGCGGACACCGCGCCGCGTGGGGAAC